GAAGTAAGCTCAACATCATGTCATAGTTTTGGGGTTATGGTGCGTTTTTCCATAAATAATATTTTTGAACTTTTGTGATGTCTGTCTCATAGAAGAAGAAAGCTCAGCATCCATTCATCAGAATCGAGGACTGTACTGAAAAATCCAATGTTCTCTACTCAAGGCAATCCTCCTTCGGATCTCGTTTTTTCACGAATTCCTTCTATCCAACATTTCGGTCAAAAGGAAATTCTGAGTCACATGAAAAAAAAATTTAGGGCTCCATCATAGGAATCATTCTACTCAAATTCGCCCACAAAATGAAGACCACAAATGCTATTGGAAGGGATGACTTATGACCCATTTGATCAACACAGTGAATAGTCCTCTTTTTGACTTGGTAGCCCCGCTTTTTAGAGCTTCTCGCTTCGAGTGTCACAACAAACGAAGAGCATGAAATAAATCAGGCGACTTCATAAGAACTTTAGCCACTCTCGATCGCATAATTTGATTAGGGGACTGTTAGCTGAATTTTCCCACAATGGCAAAATAATAGTTTTTGCTTCTAAATAGACTTTCGACATTACTGAACTGTGTTCACCCTATTTCGTTTAAGGTGATAAAGGACTTGTAGATGAATTTTCCTGTATTGATATAAATAGGCCTCAACTGACAGGCCCTCATCACCTTAAACGAAATAGGGTGAACACAGTTCTTATATTCAGAGATAATGTTAGTCTCGAAAGCCTACTCAAAAACGATAATAAGTAATGTAGTATAATGTTATAACAAATACAACTTTGCTCCATCAACATCCCCCTAAAGAAAGGGATATGGAAAAAAACTGACCTTCCTCGAAATTATCATCTACCCTGTGACCTAACGGCACTTATAGACATGTAACGTAGTCGTTAACAGGTTGAGACACTACGCTGCACAACCCGTGTTCGAGTCTTATTGAAGGTTCTGATTTGTCCTATGCGAGGTAAAAACTGCAGTCCATCCTGGATGAGGACACGTTTTTGGAAGCAAGGCTGTGAAATTTAATGAAAACGTGAGACCAACTCATATTATTTTGGAGAAATTTGCTACCGGTCCTTCAGTATGTTAAACGAAATAGCCTGAACACAATTCTAATTCAAAATCAAAGTTTTCCCCATTTCCAACCCCACTATAAATGTGATAGAAGAGAATAATGGCCTGTCTTAAAGTCAAGTTCGCCCTATGAGCCAATTTAATCCTTATTTGTATGATGTTGTAGTAATATTTCGCCACATTGCGCTCAGGACCTCGGTTCGATTCCAGTTGAGGATGCTGATGAGATCCAGGCTAGTTCAAGACTGCAGTCCATTCCGGAGGAGAATTCCTTTTAGGAAGCAAGGCTAGCTGAGATACTTTCTTGATTTTTGACATATTTCCAATCCATTACTATAGCATCTGTTCTCCAAAAGCCTAAGCCAAATGAGTCTTGAGACTGTAGAAGCGGAAGAAATATGTTCTAAGTAATTGTAATTTAATTGCATTCCTTATCAAACCTATTTTACTCAGTGCAGACATTCTTTATGGCTGAAATGGTGCTTTCAGTTTTGTAACTTAATGACTGCAATGTATTGCCATGGTAACCTGTAATCTGCAAATGGATAAAGAGCTTCCGCTTGGCGACACCAATCCAGGATTCATCACAAGCTTGCAATTAGGCTCTACATTCATTTTCTGGAGTTATGAACACTACATGAGCGGAAGCTGAGCATTCGACTCGTAATGGAGGTTTCTACCGCACAGTTAATTTGACCTATAAACGTCCTTTTGTCCACTTACAAATTATAGATCCATCTGTTGTGAACCACCAAGCTTTTTTTTGAATTCATTTCGGAATAATTTCTTCTAGTGGCTCCAATTTTTCGGTACAACCCACTTAATCAGCAGATTTTTCAAGCAGGCTGGATCATCTTTGTGGGGTTTTGGAATCACAAAAAGTCATCACTTTTGAGTAAAACAAAATTACATGAAATATGATTGACAAAGTCACCGAGCTCAATTAATGTTATGTATAAAAAATAAACCTTTCTTTGTTTTAACTTTTCCCCTACCAGGCAGATGTGAGGCTTGAAGGTCGAATGCACATGCATGTGCTGCTTCAGGCCGGACTCGACACGAAATGCCTTGTAACAGATAGAACAGATGAAAGGACTCGAGCGATGAGTCGCGTCGCGATTCGCCACCGGAGCAGAGCTGCGAAGAAATTCTGGCACCTCTTCTCTGGAGGAATGGAGTCGAGAGGTGTCGCTTCTCTCGACCGATACTGAAGCTGTAACAGGTTGGTAGGTACAAATTTAGTTAAGTATTTTGATTTGGGAGAAAAGAAGTAGAATATTGGAGGCTAGTGCGTGTGTGAGTGAGCGCATGGAGACTAGCCGTCATGCGCA